TTTTCTGTGATCTTTCTAATTCAAAGCCAGAATACTCCATGCATTATGCCCTCCTGCTGAACACCTGGCAGATTTCCAAGAGAAAAATCTGCATCATACTTACTTCTGATAAAACCAGCAGTAATTTCCCTCTGCGCTTTCTCCTCTAGGGATGAAGGACAAGGCAGAAGGGGCACCAACACTATCTGCAGAGGCACACTCTCAGAAGGGAGAAGGACGGCTGAGGAGTACCACGTGCATGCCAGCCCTCAATGGGCAATGGCTGGAAGCCAGCACAGGTTTCCCAAATACCCACCTTTGCCCCTTTCCAAGATCCTCATAGCCATTCCTCTTCAGGAGCTCAATGCAATACCCAAAATCAGTGGCTGCCTTTGCCAAGTCAGGGATCTGGCACTAACAGAACACAAGGAGAAAACTTTCAATTTCTCCAAGCCAGTTCATCCCCAGAACTGTCTTTCGGGGAGGAAGCAGTGTAGCCAGTGTGCCAAGAAGCGAGAGTCCCTTATCCAGCGTACAGTATTAACATGACCCCAGTGAAACAGCCTCCTGTGCCCTATAGCGTTCTGCTGCTAAATACTGGGCATGAGGTCGATTGCCAGCTCTTGTAAGGGTTTTCTACTCCTGTATCTACCAATTCATCATTGCTTCAAGTTTATAAAATGCTTAAAAGTAATGTTCCCCAAGAAGAGAGTTTGGAGGAGACAACATGTTTACACCAAACGTTTTTGCTTGTTCAGAAGTTATTTTTTTATCGCATCTGGCACTTTAATGGATGCCACCATTAGCTCATTTCATATAAAATGCAACAGATGGCTAAAACAGGCATTAGACAAAATACATTCTACACTGTACCTCCAATTTTATCACGGGTATTTCTAAGCAACCCACATTTCTGTGGTATTTAGATGTCAGTTACAACAATTCGTACTAAGACGACAACAGTGAGCTCTTAATTTCTTGCACTGTTTCTTACTCACTTCAGTTCTGGCAAAACTGTAAGGTTTGCCCAACACCAAGACCATCACTTTGTGAGTGTCTCTAAAGCAAACTCCTTGACATGGCTGGGCTTGCTCTCCACTTCGCCTGAGCCCCACTGACAGCATGATTGATCACATCATTCTTCACCATCCTAAACAAAGCCCAAACGTTCACTACCCAAAGACACCATTCTTCATGACTCTTTTATTTGTCCACACAGGATTCTGTTGTTTTCAAAAAAAAAAAAAAAAAAGAAACTAGCAGTCAGTATGTGTTCCTTTGAATTACCCAAACCTATGCACCAACCTACAGCTACACATTTTACATGTATCACTACAACAAAATAGCTTTACAGCTCTGAGCATTAACCTGCAGAAACCCCATTGCTCTAACAATGCCTGCTTCTGACACAGGCTTTTAAACCTAAGTTGTCTGAAATACAAAGGCAGAAAAACAATGAGCAGGAATCCTTCCTGATCCTCCTCTTGTGAGGAATTCAGTGCTTAAATTTAAGCATGAGGGATGAATGCTTAAATGAAAATGAACAACTGAGCAACATTTTCAGTCTTTATCATTTTCACCTTTAACCAAAACCTTACTGATTTTTGTTTCTAAACAAGGTAACTAAATATTTATAGACCACACAGATAAAACTGGAAAGATCTGAGAATCAGTCTCTGGTTTTGGTTAAGGATGGGTATTCAACTCCAAGGCTGCTTTTCTGCTCTGGTATCAGTGAAACTCATCTTTGTTTCCTATCTCCAGGACATTTTCTTCAATTTCTAGGTATTCTCACTTTGGGTTTCAAGTACTGTGCATCAACACAAGAAGAATTAGCTTTGGAAAGGTACCATCAGTTTTTTCTACCTAATGAGTAGTTCTTTTGGAGAAAACTTTAATTTGTATCTCAAGAGTAAAATTAGTGTGACCAGGCAGCTTCAGGGCCTATGCTACAACCCGCTGCTCCCCACGTCCTAGCGCCAGGGCAATGGTTCTTCTTAAGCTCTCACTGTTACTTAGCAAAATACATGAGCCCAAGAATAAGAATAAATACCCGCTCAAGAGGCTCAAGCCTCTTGGCTCTTTTGGCTCAGAAAGCTCATTAACCATCACCTAAGGACACTGCAATAAGCGAAAGAACTGTGATAGTTCAACAGATACCAAAGAGAAGCAAGCCTACCATCAACTCTTTAATATTCAGTATAGTGAATTACCAACATTCACAGCATCACACATACAACCATTTCCAGTTAAATCCTTCTACAGTTTCCACAAGCCAAAGAAGAATAACAGCCAACTGACTAGGACCACCTTTGTTTCATGTTGTTGACACTCCACAAACACACAAAATCCTTTGTGAAAGCTCAAAGGCTGAGCAAAGTCCATTCAAAGTTAGGGAGATGAGGAGGACCAGAGAGAGGCCCCCAGGGAGAATGCTGTCTCCTTTCAAATCCAGGTGCCTACCAGCCTGCGCCTGATGCAAAAGTGGGATCACCAAGTGTGGTTTAGGAATGGACATCTGTCAGTAACCTCTCCTCCTCCCCTTTCTATTATAAGCACAGGAGGGGATGCTCTCCTTGAGTCATCTCCCCCCCTGTGCTTTCCTGGGAGGTTTTAGCAGACTGGTTACGTTTATATGTATCTTAGAGTGTACGTATGTATATATATACACAAATACATATATGTGCATATATCAAAACATAGAAAGCCAACCGTATCCTGGGCTGCATTAAAAGGAGCGTGACCAGCAGGTCAAAGGAGGTGATCCTGCCCCTCTACTCTGCTCTTGTGGGACCTCACCTGGAGTATTGTGGGCAGTTCTGGTGTCCTCAACATAAAAAGGACATGGAACTGTTGGAACAAGTCCAGAGGAGGGCCATGAGGATGATCAGGGGACTGGAGCACCTCCTGTATGAAGACAGGCTGAGGAAGTTGAGGCTGTTCAGCCTGGAGAAGAGAAGGCTGCATGGAGACCTCATAGCAGCCTTCCAGTATCTGAAGGGGGCCTATAGGGATGCTGGAGAGGGACTCTTTATTAGAGACTGTAGTGACAGGACAAGGGGTAATGGGTTAAAACTTAAAGAGGGGAAGTTTAGGTTGGATATAAGGAGGAAATTCTTTCCTGTTAGGGTGGTGAGGCACTGGAATGGGCTGCCCAGGGAGGTTGTGAATGCTCCATCCCTGGCAGTGCTCAAGGCCAGGTTGGACGAGGTCTTGGGTGATATGATTTAGCGTAAGGTGTCCCTGCCCACGGCAGGGGGGTTGGAACTAGATGATCTTAAAGTCCTTTCCAACCCTAACGATTCTATGATTCATATTCCTACATACACTCTTAAGATTTTCAAGTAATAAGCACGTTTATGTGGTGTTAACTGATAGACAACATAATACATACAACAATAAAGGTAAAAAAAAACAAACAACAAAAAAGACAGACAAAAATTGTCATGGGTGGAAGATAAAAAAAAGGGGGGCTCATCTATCCAAATATCAACATACATAGGTTAGCACGTTAACTAAAATATTTCCAAAGAGTAATGCAGATGCGGCATGCAGCTTTAGCATAAACTAAACATACTGGATGTCAGTGAGGGGCCTGAAATTTAAATCCAGATATATTCCAACACCTTCCTAGGGGCCAAAAAAGATGTACTGTAAGAGGAAACAGAATAAGCCCACAAACAGCAAGGAAAAAGCAACAAAAGAAACACATAGTAAATCAATGTATTTCCTACAGTAGGAAAGCAAGAAGCCTGGTATCATCTCAAACACTGTAAGTAAATGCAGCGTGCAATATGCAATACAGAACTCTTCAATGCTCTTGTGACATGCAGATGCCTTGGTCCGGAAAGTATTTTCCTGGAACTTCTGGGTGTTGGTGTGGCATATTTTATTAACATTATAATAACCTATTTTAGAAAATAATTTAAAAAGCAAATCAGATCATATTTAAATGGAAGTCATTATTAGACTCATTTAAATTGCAGAATAACACTACGTTCCTTCTTCCACTGAGTATATTTTGGTATCTGTATGTCCCACTAGCTCCAAACTGGATTACTGCAAATCTCTGCCAGTAGACTTCAGACAAGCACTGTATTAAAAGTCTTCATTAAATTATAACACCAGGCATAATATCCATGATCTAAATGTTGAGAGCTCCATTAGTCCCAGTTTGTGATTTTTCCATTGCCTTCTACTTCACATAACTTTAAAATTCCCAAACCTCTGTCTTCCTGGAAAATTCAGTGAAGTTGAATGTGGACTAGGTTGATAATGGGCAATATCATCATCTGTGTGATAACGGATCACATCACTCTGCTGCCTAGCGTTAGTTTCTTTCCAGAAATCAAGCTTTACTTGCAACAAGAAAAATATTCCTTTCCATACTCATAATCAGAAGCTTTGAAATGCAGAGAAATGGACATGTACCCTTCTTTCCAATGCAAAAGATGTTTTCCTCAGTATTTTAAAGAAACAGATGGTAGCTACTAAGCCTCTGGGTAGGTGTACACTGCTTTCTCATTTACTATCAGCATACCTCTAAATTGATCTAATAAATGCCTTTTGATGCCAAACTATTTTAAAGACACTATAGGATGAGCAATGTGGCCAAAGAAACTCCAAGAGCAGGCGCTATAGGAACCGATGACACAGTATTACGCACTAAAAGACGACGCAATTATAAAACACTAAACCCGCACCCACCTCCCCTGTACCCCACACGCAGGCGATTAAATTCAAGGCCACAGTTTTTACCCTTCAAGGCACGAAACCGGGATGATACGGGGGGGGACACACACACAACCCCCAACACCACCACCCGCCCCCGGCACGGCGGAGCCGAGCGCTGCCTCACCGCAACCCTCCGGCGGGAAGGAGACCGTCTCCTCCCGGCCGCCACAGCCCACGGACAAAGGCTGAGAGAGAAGGGCAGCCGCCCGCGCCCGGCACCCGGCTGCTGCCGTTGTTGGGCCGTTCCCCAGGGGCTCAGAGAGGTCGGTGGCGGGGCCAGTCCTCACCTGCGGCGGGCGGCGGCGGCTGGTGGGGCTCGTCCTGCTCCAGGGTGACGGCGCCGTCCCGCCAGACGCGAAGGTGGGCGGTCGCCCCCAGCCTGGTGACGGGGGTCTCGCCGCGGCGGGCGCGGGCCCGCAACGAACCGCAGCACTGGTAGCACACGGCCCACGCCTGCTCCTCGTTGATGGGCTGGTTGTAGAGCCTGAGGATCTCCTCCAGCGACAGTGCCTCGGGCTGCCCGCCGGCCCCGCCGCTCTCCTCTTCCTCGTCGGCGGAGCGGGAGGCGCCGGGCTGGGGCTCCGCTCCGCGCTCCCCCGGCAGCGCCATGCCCTGCCTCCGCCGCTCTGCTCCCCGGCTCAGTGACCGGCTCTGCCGCTGCGACTGCTGCTGCTTGCTCTGCTTGTTCTGCTGCTGCCGCCCGGTCCCGCCGTGCTCATCCTCCCCGCCCCGCTAGTGCCACCAGGCCGCCGGACAGCCCGGCCCGCGCAGCAAGCAAGCTGGCAGCGGCCGGCCAGCAGGAGGAACAGCGCCCGAACCACCCGCTGCTGCCGCCGCCGCAGGGGGAGACAGCTCATAGCAACGCAATGGCGTCCTCGCCCGCCTCCGCCGCCAACGGCCGGCGCCGCAGCGCCCCCTGCCGCCCTCAGGCTTGGCTGCAACTGCGTGCGGCCGCCCGGTTGCGCTGGGCTGGTAAGGACGGAATTCAGCTCAGAGGCTGCCACGGCAACCTCCGTGTCCGCGGGCAGGATGGGAAGCGCCATTCGAGCAGCTAGGCTTCCACGGCTGCCTTGGACACGGATAACGATGGGGCGTTCTCATCTCACAACCCTTGTGCTGCTGGTGCTGGCAACAACCCCCCCAGAAACAACTCTTATCTGGACAGCAAGATGACATCCTCAGCTCCCCAAGCGACTGAACAGTGACACCAACGTGTATCTCCATCATGGATGCGTCGGGTTTCAGGGAAAAAGCAAGTCCCTGCTTTCACAGCTTCGAATCCCTCCGTTGGTCACCCTGCCTTCATACAGGAAACATCCCCTACCACAAAATTCCTGGAGCAGCAAGCAGGAGACACCAAGGCTACAGGGAAAAGCTCCCAGCAGTTGAAAGAGCACGGTTCAAAAGGGGAACTCTCTTCCAAACAGCTGGGAGGTGATGCTCCTTACCCAGAACATACCTGGGCTTCAGCCACTGTGCCAGTCTCTCCCCATGGCCGCACCACTTGAGAAAACCGATTCTTGTAGTAATTGAAACTCACATCAGAAAACATTTGGGTTTTCCCTTTAGCATTTTACAATTTTACTTAACACAGGTAAAAGGAAATCTAAAATCTCCCCTCAGCATCTGCTGCATACGAAAGATGAGGGAACACCTAAGTGACCAGACAGCACTGGGCATGTCCCTGCATGCTGAAAGGACACACAAGGCCCAGCTCTGACTAGGGAGCTCCTCTTTCCTTTTTCACTTTTACTTGTATTTAACATGGACACATTTTTCCTCTTGTAATGACATACACGTGTAATGCACACTGCTGCAAACAAGATACACATTGTACTTAAATAAAGCTATTAAAAATTTAGTGATACTCACCACACAACATGATTCAGCCTTTCACAGGTTATTAGATACAATGAAATTGTACTGCCTAAAGCATTGATTGTTGCCCTGCAGGCTGTGTAGCAGGCAAAGGAATAGATTTTGATTTTTCAGATATAAAAATAAAAGTAACACAAAAACAGATTTTGAAAGTGTTTGAAACCTGTTAGCACTAGAGCCATACATACATAATGTTCAATTAAAATTTCAAGTTAAAACCCTAGGGATGCATTAGGCAGTATTTAACACTTGGAAAAAAGACCAAAATGGTGTCAGACCACTGCACTGCCAATTAAATGTCCATGCAAAACACCAGCCTTCACTCTTGCTGCATGCGTTACAAGCTTCTTTGGGATTAAGTCTGCTTTGCTCCAGCACCAACAGAGTCAGATCTTTCCTACATGTAGAACAAAAGGTGGTGGACACAGACCAAAGACACGGAATGGCTTCTATAGGAAAGATCAAATAGTTTTCATCAGCCTCACAAAGACAGGCCAGAGTCCGCATGGTAAAAAACATGAGGTATTGAGAAGTCCAGCAAGCTCAATTGCTTGCTGTTTCTCAAAGCATGAAGACTAAAAGACGCTCGGCAAAATCACCATCCACATGTTGAAGACAAACAAAACCACAGATGGATAATTAAGTACAGATCTCAGTGACAAAACCAGACAAAATCATGACTGGTTGTTAAGCAAAATGGCCTGGCTACAGCTCCTACCTCAGAAACTTCCTAAGCTAACGTCAGAAAACAGGCATGAGGTTAAACCACTTCATGTAACCCAGCACAAGCTAGCCATGTGCTTGGCTATCCACATCTTAACTTTACATATTAAAAAAAAAAAAAAAAAAAGAAACAAACAAAAAAATCCATTAAATTAATAGGATTAATAAGATTATCTCTTCTGACTGAACTTTTCTTAGAAGCTGAATGTAGAAGCTACTGCTATGTCCAAAAGAAGCAGAAATAAACTTTTTTCTAAAAAGGACACATACTTCAACTTTCTAGGTCTCGGTCACTCACAAAGTACACCCAATATGCTACACAGAGAGTCTATTACCCTGGAGAGGTAAACCAGACTTTTTTCTAAATGAATTCTGACACCAGTTCAGAGCTGCAGAAGAGAAGCTGGTATTTCATGCACACATTTTAGTAATTTGACCCACATTCATTTAAGTACTAAAAGTGACTTTTATTAAAAATAAGAATAAATTCTCTTTATAAATACAATCATTACTGTGTACACAATCCTCTTCAATGAACACACAGTATCCAAAATCAGCAGCATTTATATAAAATACAATACTAGTTTTTAATTACATAATTTTATACATTATTTTGCAGATCAAAGGACAGAACGGTATTTACAAGCAAACATGATCCAAACAGCACATGCAGATTCAGGGTATGCAAACACTCGTACACGAACCGCAAGTCGCACTTGGTCTCCCGTACAACAGATTATTTCTTCACAAAAAGGAGACCTGTAAAAAAGGAAAACAAGAGTAACAAATATTACTAAGCTATTATTAAAATTTTCAATTACATATGTGCGTTTTTTTTCAACTGTGATCAACCGTTAAATAACAATAAGCGTCATTAGTCCGTCACTACAAATAATAATATTGTTCAACAGTGCAGGGACTGTTGCCTTGGAGGAAAACAAGGCCATCACTGATCATTTGTAACAAGTGCAGAGAAATTAACTCCTCAATGTTTAATTTAACTCAGGAGAAGTCTATCATCACTGAACTCAATGTAACATAAAAGCTCTGTAACCCCATGACCCATTACATACACGACTCTTCCTTCAGTTCTTATTTAACAAAATCAATTTTCTTTAAATTTCAAACAAAAAAGAGTTGCAATTCAGAGTTAAGTACTGTTACTTTTAACATACACATGTATGTATCTCTTTATATTTAAACTTACCGAAGACATGTGGCAAATGCTCTCCTGGCATTTCTGTATACAAAATGGATTGGAAACCCTTTAAATGTGTGACCATCAGGTACTGCTCGTCTTACAGCGTCCTGAAACTCTTCATTTCCTGCAGAAATACTTGTTGCACGTTCGAGCTCATAGGCTGCTAGCGCCGGTGACAACAGGTAGGATAGATGGTCATCCCAAACAGTAGAAAGGCCAAGATCCTGTGAGGCAATTCACAGAATGATGACAAGTGTGCAGAATGAATATTAGGCTATGACTAAGCTTGTATATTGTATAGATTCAAATAAATCCATGACAAATCTTTAATTTGTAGTTAATGGAAGAGAAGCAGTATGATTTTGATATTGACTCACACACCAGCTGGAAGAACCAAACACCACCAACAAAATATCAAACACTGAGCAAGAAATTAAGTACTAGACCAAAACAAGACGAGCAGAGTTGAAACTACATGTTTTAGCTACAGTATCTCTGCATGAAATGTAAGAAGGTAGTGCATAAATACATAGCAAAAAATATATGGGAAAGATCAACTAAGTTCACCTCACATTTTTCAGAATTGTCTCACAGGGAAACCCACTTCTGAAAAAACAGCGCACAGTAGCTACCCAAAACACATACAGATACACGTACCTTCCTCCTACCATCCCACAAATGCAACAAGGGAGAAAAATCTACCACATTATGTGTTCAACATCACATGAGACTCATGCTCTGAGAATGCCACCCCAAATGCTGAACACTGTGTGGCGAAATAAAAACTAAACCAAAAAACCCAAACATTAAAACCAGACATAATTTACCAGGGATTTAAAATATTAATTCCTCCATATCCAGCACAGGAAGATTAATTTCTGGCACATTACATGTAAAAATTCTGATATAGGACAAAACTTATTTCTAGAAATACCTTCAGATTTTACAAAGCAGTCAGAGTAAGAACATGGAAGCTGAAAGCTTGCTTTTATCTAGGAACCAAAACCACTTGGGGTGGATAGGCAAAGCCCACCACCAACCAGGTCTGGTCTTCCCAGCTCTTTTACAGACCACTCACAGGTAATTTGCAGGTGCCAGTAAGCTGAAGATCAGAGACACAGGAGAGGCAAAGGCAGGGTGGGGGGAAGAGCCCACACAGAAGGCTACCAATCACCACTGCAAACAGTAAGTATGATGTCTAAACTAGTTCAGTACAGTCTTTCCAAATAATTTTTCAATTACTTGACTTTTCACATACCACATTTCTGAAAAAGCTGATGGAAAACATGCTGCAAAGATACAAGTATGTTGAAGTAACAAATGGCTACCTAAAACAAGTGAAAACTGTAAACCCATGCACCTTTATTACCACAACAGATCAACCACAATCTTTAAACAGTGTTACCTTTCTGTGTTCAGAGACCAGTAGTCTCAGCTGCAACTCCATCTCGTTGCTTGCTATCGCAGCATCTATTGTGGAATCACACAGAGGAGGGAAAGGGGGAACTGAAGATGTTGATCCAGGTGGACATACAGATTTTATTGCTTCCCCACTCATAGGTTTCCATTTAGATCCATCATGCAGGTCAAACACACAGACCTCCACAGCATCAGACGGCTGACAATTTCCAAAGAACTTTTGATGGTTGAAGACACAACCTATTGTGCGATAAGGATACAGTGGCTTGGGTTGTTCAACTAATGGAGGGTCATCAGGCTTGATAGGTCTGTGGATGTACCTAACCAAAAACATTCAATGTCTTATTAATACACCTTATTTCAAGGCAAAGTAAAAATACTTAGATGGGTCAGATACAAGCCATCTCTCTTTCTAAAACTGTAAGCCAAATTTGTTAAGTTTGGGGGGGGTTCATCCTCCCAAAATGGCATTAATTTATTTACAGAAAAATAATTATGCACATTTTGGAAACATAGCATACAATAAACTAATACATCCCTTTTTTTTTCTTTAAATCTAGACAAATAAGCTAATTGAACTCAACAGCAATTAATTTTTGCAATGATAACAATAT